TTGCAAATAAGCTTACTGTTAGTTTGGATTGTTTATATGGCTGTGAAAAGCATTTTTTCTTTTTTTAAAGCAATGACCAACTGTACAAATGTAAGTTAAAAGGCTTAGATGATAGACTACAGTTGCAAACAAACATAATAAGAGCAGATGAAGTTGTGAGACAATGTAAAAACCAAAATGCACTAAATCCCTTTTGCAAAAAGCATTTCCTCTGCCAGTCTGGAGTACAAAGGAATGCAAATGTAACATAATGAACACAGTTAAATGCACAACATCAGTGATGCATGTCAAAGTGCAAATACAGCTCATAGTTTGAAATGGTGGAACAAAAGTTGTGGTTGAGCAGCCTGCAAATTGAAAGAGGGCCTATGCACTATTGATAGGAAGGGAAGTTTGGAGGGCTGGAGATTGTGGGTCAGGGAGCCAAACAGATACATGGGTTATACAGAGTTGATAAGTCTCATTCCAGACTCTTAACAAGAATGCTGCGAAAACTTTTGTCAGTTTTTGCTTCTCAGTCATGAAACAGAAGCTATGTAGGAAAGTTGAGGTTGTTATATTTCATATACTGTATAGTTTTGAACTAAACAGTCAGTCTCAATGAAGGCTTCCAAGTCCTCCTCTTCTTCTATGGCAATCACTCATAGCCGAGTAAGATTGTCGTCCATGAACACGGTCTTAGCGGTGTGTACAAAGCTGAAAGTGAATGAACTGCCGCTAAAACCTTATGTTCATTTTTCACATGGCCTAGTCCTCATCTGAAGACTGTAAAAAAAAGCCATGCTTCCCCTGCTCACCTCTTAAGAGCAGGGGTCAGCAAGGTTTACTTCGCCTGGGCCGGTTCACTCCAGCGGAGATCCCTCTGTGGGCCGGAACGTGTGTGTGTGTGCGTGACTGCGATTTCCAGTATCTGTGTCTGCGCAGACATGATTTCCGATATCTGCGCAGATGTGATTTTCGGCACCTGAGCATGCGCAGATGCAGACGTGATTTCCGACACTGCGGAAGCGTGATTTCCGGCACTGTGCTGGTTTAGCGCAGCGTGCAGGGACTCGCCGAGTAGGCGGCTCGGTTCGGGGGTGACTTGGGGGCCAGTTAAACGACCCCCATGGGCCGCTTGTGGTCCATGGGCCTTAGGTTGCCTACTGCTGCTTAAGAGGGTCTCTTCTCCAGTCTTCAGAGAATGGCTGGAAGTAGAGAGGCAGAAAAAGGTCCTCCTTTTACTTTGAGACAAGCCCTGGATTCTTCCTACACCTTCTTTCCTTCATATAAATATATCTTTTTGGCACCACAGTTAACACGTATTAAAGACCTTTACAGCTGATGGCAGACCCACCTTGAGTGTCCAGTTTGCAAACATAAGACTTACCGTATTTTTCCATGTATAAGATGTCCTCATGTATAAGACGACCCCTAGATCTATTGGAAGTCTGGCGGGGAGGAATTTCTCTTCACACACTCTTAGGCGCAGTACTGCACCAAATCTTAGGCGCAGTACTGCACCAAGAGCTCAGAAACTGCTTGCGCCTATGAAATTCCCTGTTGGAAAATGCACCTAGAACAATGGGAGTTTTGAATGCTGCTTCAAAGTCCATGGCACCTTTAGTAAAGGCTGTTCTCCAACTGAAGCACTCACGGGCCAGTGATTGCTTGTTCAAAAGTCACCTAGTAAACTAAATGGCTGAACTGGATTTTTTTTTTTTTACCCAGATCTCTCAAATGCAAGTTCAAAACAAAATCCATAGCACCACACTGTCCTTCTTAATAGCCCCAGGGCTAGTATATATTACTTCTATGGGGGTAATGTCTAAATCTGGCAGAAACAGAGGATAGATGAATGGTGTGGGAAGTCCCCACACTCTCACTGTTTTTTCCTGTCTGATCTACCTGTGCAATTTGATAAGATTTAGATCTGCTACAGCATGGAATCCAGCCATGGTGAAGTAGTATTAGAATTGGGCATGAGAGAATATTCAGAGTGGTTGTAATTTACATGTATTTTTTATTGATTTAAAGTATTTCCAGGCCACCTTTAAGAGTAAATCCACTCAAGGTGGCTTAATAATATATATACAAGAACAGCATCAGTTAATGAATCATAATTATAATAGGATCATAGAATAACACACATCCACCCACAGATATTAAAATGCAGTGCAAAATACAGTGGTGCCTCAGGTTACAGACACTTCAGGTTACAGATTCCGCTAACCCAGAAATAGAACCTCGGGTTAAGAACTTTGCTTCAGGATGAGAACAGAAATCATGCAGCGGCAGCGGGAGGCCCCATTAGCTAAAGTGGTGCTTCAGGTTAAGAACAGTTTCAGGTTAGGAACGGACCTCCGGAATGAATTAAGTTCTTAACCAGAGGTACCACTGTATAGCTAAAATTGTTAACATCAGTTAAGCTGCAATCCAAGTGAAAGGAAAACAAACTGACCTGATGGCCTTTCCTAAAAGCATCTAATGATGACTCCTGGATGGTAGTGCATTCCAAAGGTGTGTGCCCCTGGAAGAAAAAGGCAGAGTCTCTGTGATATATTCCCTACTGTTACAATCCCAGTTTTCTTCACTTTTTTGAAATTGGTGTGGAAAACAAGACCTATAGGCAAACTGAAAAATTCTCAGTGGCTTAAGATCTGGTTCACTTTTTCCTTTGAGGTTCATGTCTGCTAACAGAGAGAATTATTTGAAGATGGTCCACCACTGGTTTTCCCCATAAGGCTTAGTGCTCCCCATAAGGCTTAGTTTCCAGACCCTTAATTGTCTTATTTGCCTTTCTCTGCACACGTTCCAGCTTGTCAACATCTATGATTTCAGTCAGTCAGCCAGCTACAAATCCACCTAACAGTTACCTCGTTCAACCCTCGTTCTATCAGTTGCGTGCAGATAAAATGCAACTGATAGAATTCTACAGGATGTGGTATTAGTGTGTGAAAACAGTCCAGATCCAGTGATCCCCAGGCACGTACCTCCAGATGGTGGCGACATCAGGTGCCATCCTGGCACCCAGGCATCTTCACTTGGTTGCGCCTTGTGCCTGGCTAATTTTGAACACTGCCATGGTCATCATGGTGGTAGTCCTGAGTCTAGTAGAACCAATAGAGTTGCACTCCTTCCTTCTATTCCCTCTCATAAGCCATCTACCAGGGTGATGTAAAGTCTTTCTATCATGAAACCAGGTCTGAAAGTAAACTGGAATGGATCTAAATCAGAATCATCCAACACTAACAGGATGGCAGATGTCTTCAGCTTGAGACAGAAGTCATCTATACTTATCTGATTCATTTGCTCCTTCTGTCCTGCTCACAGAGAGCTTCTCTATCACATGGTGTGTTAAAGCTTAAAACATTGTTTGCCAAGCACTTTTGAGATCCCCTCACAAAGGCACTAGAGAGAAGCTATGGGATTATGTAGATTTTATATTTATATCTCTTGAGGAATGAATGAATGAATGATGTTAATTAGGTCTTCAACAGAGAGAAAAAGTGGAAGTCTTCTTTCCAGGCACTAGGCACTCTTGGGCACTGTTGCACCTTGGCTCAACGATATACCCAGGACCTCTGAATTTGAGTGACCCAGGGATGCTAAAACTAGGTCAAAGTTTGTTAGATTTACAGAAACCTACTGTTTCAGTGGGATAAGGTATCCTGCTAGAGGACAAAACAGACTCTTCGCATCTGCAAACTGAATTTCAAAATAGCATTTACCTTAACTGTTACTCAAAGAAAATCCCACCATCCTCATTTCAGTCATTGGGGAGCTGATATCTGTTCTTAACTACCTAAATTAGTTAGATTACATTTCAAATGATATATAAGGCTTACAGACAAGAAGGGAGAGGAGCAGTTGTTCGTTTGTGGATGACATATTTGGAAGAGATGTCTAATCAACAGAACTGAATCAAAATGGAATCTATACAGTTAACAAAGCACAAGGACACAGAACAACCAGGTCCGAGAGGCAAAAGGTTAACAGGCTCTAGTAGTGGAATGGAAAGACAGAGATGACTGTAGTTCGGCCAAAAGGAGTACCAAAAAGTACAGCATATTTCATATCCCCTCCTTCTCCCCAGTGTTAGAAACTGGGATAGGAATGCTAGGAGCCATGTGGCTCCTGAGACCTAGGTTGTGGGCACCAAAACAAAATGTCCAGGTGCCCTCCCTTTTTTTTGCTGCCCCCCTCCACCAGACCAGGCAGCCCTGCAGCCAAAATGAAAATAAAAATGCCTCTGGATGAATTGGGGTCTGCAAAATAGTGCTGCAGCAAAAGACGCATCTTTTGCTACATCTCTACCCCCCAAAAAACCTGATTCACCCAGCAGCAGGGCAGTAAAAAATGTGTTTTAATTTTTTTATATATATAAAAAGTTCAGCCGGGTGAATCAGGGGCTGCTGGGTAGACACTAAACACCTGATTCACTGGGTACCACAGCAGCAGCAAAAAACCAAAGACGCATCTTTTGCTGCTGCGCTACCAGGTGAATCAGCTGTTTGGCGGGTAGAACGGTAGTAAAAGATGCACCTGGATCTCTCCATCAAGTCACAAATGGCTGGTTGCCAGTCGCAAGATGTGACTGGCACCCGCTAATTTTGAACCCTGCTTTTCCCTCCATCCAGTCATTTGCAGCTGCCTATTTGCAGCGTACCTGACTTACAGATAAACCAATGGCCTCCTATAAGTAGTCTTGTGGTCACAAATCAGGCCAGTCATTGATATTATGGAGAATAGGCTGATGATTCAGATTTCTTTCCAAAGATAAACTTTTAGCAACTTCCAGCCACTTAGAATCCTATAAGTTAAGATTTTGCCCTAGTATTGGGTACACCCATCAAACAGTGGTATTTAATTGGTTTCAGTATTCTAGATAAAGAAGTTAAGATTTTGTCCTAGTACTGGGTTTTGTTTTTTAAAAAAGAGATATCTGGGTTGAGCAGTTACTCTTTCTCAGTGCACAAAACTAACATATTTGCATGATCATGAAGTCTTAATTTATTGGAAGGGCTGTAACTCAGTGGTAGAGTATCTGCTTTGTATGCTGAAGTTCCCTTGTTCAACCTCCAGGTAGGTCTGGGAATGAGCCCAGTCTGGAATCCCAGAGAGCCTCTGCCGATCAGTGTAGTACTGAGCTAGATGGTCTTACTGAATATAATGCAGTTTCCTATGTTCCTATGAGGGACGTGGGTGGCGCTGTGGTGTAAACCACTGAGACTCTTGGGCTTGCCGATCAGGTCAGCGGTTCAAATCCCCGCGATGGGGTGAGCTCCCATTGCTTGGTCCCTGCTCCTGCCAACCTAGCAGTTCAAAAGCATTCCAAAAAAGTGCAAGTAGATAAATAGGTAGCTTTCCAGCGGGAAGGTAAACCGCGTTTCTGTGCGCTGCTCTGGTTTCGGCGTTCCGTTACGCCAGAAGTGGCTTACTCATGCTGGCCACATGACCCGGAAAAACTGTCCTCAGACAAATGCTGGCTCCCTCAGCCTGTAAAGTGAGATGAGTGCTGCAACCCCAGAGTCGTCTGCGACTGGACTTAACTGTCAGGGGTCCTTTACCTTTACCTTTATGTTCCTGTGACATGCACATTAACTTGACTGTTTTCTGTTGTCCAAGTGCCCAGAAACATTGAGGGCTGTATGTAGCTTGTGATTTTGCACTACCAAAAAACACTTCCACTGGAGCAATGTGGAGCACCCAGTTTTTGCTGATCTTGCTTCATACTGAACCATTTTATGAGTGGGGTGCAGTTTGCACTGAGCTGTGTGGGTTATAATAAGCAAAAATTGGATACCTGGTCTTTCATGAACAGAAGTAGTTTCTGCTAGGTGTAAAGTCATAATTGTGTGTGCATGTGCCTACTGAAGACCATCCTTTTTCAACAAGTATTTTACATGCAGATTTTTTATGACAGTCTGCATCTGTGTTGGATTTGACACCCTCACAAATAGTAGTGTTTATTAGATTGTTTTGGGATGTTTTATGGGATGTGATTCATCAAATAAATAAATGGAATTTGTAATGTTAACTTTTTACTTAATATGTAATATGGCATCTCCAGGGATGATTGGGAGAGATTACTTGTTTGAAATCTGGTGAGCCGCTGCCAGTTGTTGTAGACAGTATTGAGCTACATTGACCGGTGGATCTGATTCCGTATAAGGAAACTTCCTATGTTCCTCCATTAGGGCAAAGCTTTTCTGCTGTTCAGAAGCAAGAATTTTTCTGGCATGGATAGAAGTTTCAAACTTTGGCTTTGTAAATTCAGACTTTAGACATCTGAGGAGCATTCTGAAAGAGCAAAAATTTTCTTCAGTATTTGAGCATATGCACGTGTCACATGTTTGCTTTGCTTCTTCTAGGAGGAGGTATGTGTGTTCTCTTCATGGAGAAAAAAAAAGAAAGCTTGGCAATGACTTTGTATAAAGATAGACAGTTAGAACCATTTGTTAGAACCATTTTATTGCTTGGTGTTGAGCATGGAGGCGTTTTCTTACAGAGGACCTTCCAGGTATGTTCCAAACTGTGGCTTAAAATGTCTTTAAAATTACAGCTTATTGTTGGGGAAAGCACCCCCAAATTTATTTCTTATAACTTTTAGAGAAGAGCTTGTGAACTGTTTGTAGTCTTAGTCTCTGATTCTGCTGTACATATTCTGTAATCTTGTTAATAATATTTTAAGCAAATTTCCTGGCTTTCATCTACTGAGGCAATGTATTCCCCCACCCATCTAGCACCACAGAGTTCTCAACATGAGCCACAGAAGATGGACTTCAGGGTAGAGGGGTTGGGGGTATCAGTTGACCACATAACACCATGTTTGTCTTTCTTCTTTAGTGACCTAACCAGGCATGAGAAGATGGAGGGGCATGAATTTGGTAGAGGACAACTGAATTTGCCTTATCCAAATTTACAAGCACTTAATTTTTAATTCCTACAAGACTTTGTCACATTATAAGAAGTGAAAGCTATATTTTATTTGCTCCACTCTTTAAGCCCCCAACCAACTAGTCCTATTCCAGTGAGGTTTGTTATTTTCCAAAACACAATAAGGGCGAAAAGCATGGGCTCCTGTATTTCCAGCAAAACTGATCGACCACAAACAGTGGGTCCGTTTTATTAGGGATGTGTTTAGGAATTTTGTGATGGGCTTCTCTCCGCATGATCATTATTTCTTCAGACTTGTGTGTATCATGTGTCACTCCAATCCATTGTTATTTCTTCCTTTTGCAGTATGTAGTGGAAGATCAGGGATCGGCAAGGTTTACCTCGCCTGGTCCGGTTCACTCCAGTGGAGATCCCTCCATGGGCTGGATCGTGCATGTGTGTGAGCGCGTGCACCCGCGATTTTCGGTGTCCGCGTCTGCACAGACTCGTTTTCTGGTGTCTGCATCTGCGCAGACACGATTTTGGGCTTCTGCATCTGCGCAGACATGATTTCCAGCGCCGCGGAAGCGAGTCCCTACGCCACGCTACGCTGGTTTAGCACTGCATGCAGGGACTCGCTGAGCGGGCGGCTTGGTTCTGGGGCGGCTCTTGGGTTGGTTAAACGACCCCCATGGGCCGCTTGTGGCCCATGGGCCTTAGGTTGCCTACTCCTGTGCAAGATCTGTATTCATGAGATCTTGCTGTTCTTGTTACATCTTGTGAGGTGTTCATAATCAGTGATACAAAAGTGCTGCTATTGTCACTGGGTTTCCTCAAAGGTTCCTAACCATGGCTAGAGCAGAGTCTGAGAATCAGATTTGTATCTTGCAGGCTCTGGGTCAGAGAGTCTGGGTGTCTGTACAATGTTTACTTCATTGAAGAAACTTGCCCTAAGAGAGAGAATGAGAATGAATTGAGAAGGATGAGTGTTGGGGGTGAAATCCTTACCATATCAACTTTGTCAATCTGTGTACAAGTAGCTGAGAAATAGAAAGCTTGTTCCTGCCATATTTTTCTTGAGCCTTGTCTTGGTGTACTATAAGAGGTCTTGAACTGCAGCAGATGATCTGACCAAAGCACGTAGGCGGAAGTAAGCATAGCTTTAAAGCTGCCATTCAGAATTGTGTTAAGTGTAATGTTGTGCTCTCAGCTTCAACCTCACTGTTTAATTAAGTATTTGCAGTTTAAGGGCAAAACCTTCCTTAGTGAAGACCACCACAATGCCATCTAGAATTCAGAGCAGATTTTGAAGGCTGCTCTGCTTATACAGGTGGTGAGGAAAATGTGTACATAGTAGTGTTTGGAGATGTTGGCATCTATATGTGTGTGTTTGAGTTTTGAGTAGCACTACCAACCCAAAGTGTACATGGGGGGGCGGGGAGCCATGTGCCAAGTTCAGATCTGGTGGTGTAAAAATCAAGGGGGAAATGGGCCTTCCTTGAATGAGAGTTTGCTGCTCTAAATTTCCACACAAAGTCAGATTGTGACTAGACTTTCTGGCATTGCCTTGAAGGTTGTTCCTTTGCTTTGCCTTACTAAAAGTACTGTTGTACTTGAATCAGTTTCTGTTACATGGCTCCATTTTCACACGAAAATTGTTTTAAATACAGTGGTACCTCAGGTTAAGTACTTAATTCGTTCCAGAGGTCTGTTCTTAACCTGAAACTGCTCTTAACCTGAAGCACCACTTTAGCTAATGGGGCCTCCTGCTGCTGGCGCGCCGGCGGAGCATGATTTCTGTTCTCATCCTGAAGCAAAGTTCTTAACCCGAGGTACTATTTCTGGGTCAGCGGAGTCTGTAACCTGACGCGTATGTAACCCGAGGTACCACTGTATTGAACTCATATAAGTTTCTTGTTAGTTTGTTTACCAACTGTATTTATTATTTCAATTGTAAAATTGTGATTTATGGGTAAGATTCTTGTGTGTGCAGAGATGACCACAAAACTGTTTTTTTTTCTTTTGAAAAATCATTTTAGCAAAACATAGTGCAGCTCCAGTTTGTAGGGTGCAGGGAGGCAACAACAGCATTAGCGGATGTAGAAGTAGCTGGAATGAGAAGCTTTTGTGCCATTAATAACAGTTTTGGCTGGCAGCCAAGGCTCAGAGTGTGGGATTAGCCTGAACAATCAAGACTGCAGGATCAAAACAAGGAGGCAGGAACAGCGAGGTCACACTGCTGCCATCTGCGTTGCCGCAGTGCTGGGAGGGGAACGGAAAAAGATGGGGGCAGGGCTGAATGAGAAACGTGCTGCTCATAGCTGCAGCCTGGAAAGCACCTCACTATCTTTTAGAAAGCTAGTCTTTTAAATTGAGAAAGAAACTGGTGCTGCTTGGAGATTAAAATGCCTTCCTACAGCTTACATAGAGCAACAAAACTGTAAAGGGAAGTGTGCCTGGAGAATGTTGCCAATATTTCTGATGTTTATCCCTTTTATTATCAAGCTGCACACACTCATCTTTTAAATGTTTGGTTTAGTATAGCAAAGGTTCTTGTTTCCGAACAGTATTTATATTTCAGTATTACTTAAATGTGTAGTACAATATCTTCTCACAACTATATTTTTAGGATATTATTTTGGACATAGGTCATTTTGTAACATGCATTCAGACTTCTCAGTAATCTAAGGAAATATTTTTTGTTGATCAGGCTGCTGTATGTAAGTGATTGAAGCTATTTTGACTTATCTCCCTGTTCATGAGGTTTCTCCAGGCACACATTGTTTGAAATAGGTGGAAGTAGATGCCTTGCTTAAAGCTTGTCATCTCTGAAAAGTATTTTTCAGAAGGATATTTTAAGTGTTCTGAAGACAATTGCATTGTATCTTTTTGGGGCTAAAAAATGATCTCCACATAGTATACCATAGTTATAAATGCAGAGGCAGAAATTTCACAGCAGAGTGTCTTAGTGTGTGCTAAAAATATTCCTGTCTAGTGCAGTTTACTCTCAGCATTCTTTTGTCTGACTGCCTTTGAATGCCCTAATTGAGGTGGGGTTGAAGGCAGTGTGTATGTTAGCTGAATAGCTGAACTCAGTTGTTCAGCAGTGCTCTATTTTTTTGCTTTTCAGTTTTTTCTATAACACAAATCTAAAATTTGGGATGCATTTTATAAAAGGTTTCCAATTTTCTGTGACATAGCCCTAGTTTATCCAG